TTTAAAGAGGTTTCCCCAGCCGATAGTTCTTCGAGGGGTGCCCTTACCCCGGTAGTGATAGAAATCAGAGATGATGCCAGCTCTGCTCTGGAGACGATGCCTATTGTGAGCAGTCAACAGGCTGATGTGGTGGAGAGACGGAGTCTCGAGATTGTCGTTGCTATCTTGGGCGACCCTTTGACATCCTAGACGAGCCGCACTTCTTCTTCGGATGAAGATTAGGGAAATGGAATCATGGTTGATGATTACGAGTCTGAATCCGACCTTGATCCTGACGATATTAGGATGTTCGAGGAGGGCTTTACACGAATTGTGGTAAGAGCGGGAGGTCCTTCCCGAATACTCGAAATCCCATCGGATCTCAACCTTCTGCGAGACACGGTGGATTTTGTGCCACAGTTTGACCTTTTATGCTCTGTCGCATAAAGTGGGGCTCTTCAGGATGTTAGCGATGCCGAATTGTCACGAGGTGTGGCCACGTTAGGCCTAAGGGTAAGTTGCTCTTTTTTTTTGACCTTGGACCTTATCGAATCTCTTCTTCTCTTTGTTTTTAGTCTTACATCCTGGAGATCGAGAGTGCTCGTAGGGCCGAGACTTGGGCCAAGATTTTTCTGAAGATGGTTGAAAAGTATTTGTGGTATCGCAACAAATGCCGTAAGATGCACGAGTGGCTCAGGGCGGGTACCGACACCTAATCCCTCGGTGAGGAGTTGGAGAAAAGGGACCAAGAGTTGATGCATTCCATCCGTAGATGCAGTGAGCTCGAGGAGCTGCTCCGTGCCAAAGATGAAGAGCTTGAGTTGGGAAATAGGGTCGTTGTGGAATATGAGCATATTCAGGCAAACGTGTTGTCATTGCAAGCCGAACTTGAGCAAAATGCCTCCAGAGTCGAAGCTTTGAGTGCAGAATGGATGGGAAAGTTGGCCGCACTGGAGAGGAAAGTGGCTGAGATGGAAAGTGCCGAGAATGCTCGGGCATTGGCTTTGGCGAGGGTGACGGCATTGGAGGACACTATTCGCATCTTCAAATCTGAGTAGGAGTCTGAGAGGGAAATGACCACACTAAGGGAGGCGAGGATTGAAGAGCGCATTGGCGAAATTGACCAGGAAGCTTCAAACTTGGGAGACCGGGTCGCGACCCTCGAGGCTGAAAAGGCGCAATTGTTGGCTTAAGTTCAATCTTCCTCTGCCGCTGTTCCTCGCCATTTGCATGAGTTGTGGGTCCATGCCGAGGCCCAACGAGACATATACAAGGTTTTATGAGAGGCAGACAGTGTTTTTGAGGCTGCCTTTGAAGAAGCTCGGGCGAAGGCGCCTGAGGCTCGTGTCAATTGCAGCTATGACCCTGCGACATAGGAAGCCGGTGAGGATGGATTGGCTAAAGACAATGATGGGGAGAATGACAGTGATGACGTTGAGTGAAAAGTTGCTCCAACTTTTATAGTCTCTTTTTTGTTTGTTTTTGTTCTCTTTTTTAGGGCTTCCAGCCTTTTGTAAGGTACGACTATTGTGCACGTACATATAAATAAAATAGTTGCTTCGCTTTTGTGTATCTTTTGATTTTCTTTTTCTCCCCTTTGCTTGTTACATATCTTTTTGTTTTAATGTAGACCTTTGGATTTTTTTTGATGAGTCCCTGATTTTTTGATTTAGGAATCCGACCCTACCCGGGCCGAGCAGGATCTTGTCACGTGAGTCTGAATGAAGTCACTTCGGATCTGCATGTCCGGGTGAGGTCAACTTCTGATTTGTCGCTTTAGGCGGAATCGCCCTTGATTCAAACGAGATCGAATTCGGATTTGCCATTTTGTATGGTCAATTTCGATTTGAACATTCGAGCGGGATTGAGTTCAGATTTGCCAACTTAGGCGAAAACCTTTTCATATGTATTCGAGCGGGATTGAGTTCAGATTTGCCGACTTAGGCGAAAACTTTTTCATATGTATTCGAGCGGGTTTGAACTTTGGAATCGCCATCTGGAGCGAAGTTAATTTCTGACATGTTTGAACGAGTTCAAACTTTTTCTTTTATTCGACGGTGACCGACAGCCGTAAAGGTGTTGTTCCAAGCGAGGTCGAATTGTAACCTACTTGTTTGGACGATAGCCATTGGCCGTAAAGATGTTAATTCAAGCAAGGTCGAATTGTAACCTACTGTAATTCGAGCGAGGTCGAATTTTTCTTTTGGCGATGGCCTTTGGCCGTAGGGGTGTTATTTCGAGCAAGAACGAAATAGGCACTCATTGTAATTCGAGCAAAGTCGAATTCTCTTTTGGCGATGGCCTTTGGCCCTATGGGTGTTATTTCGAGCAAGATCGAAATAGCAATCTGTTGTAATTCAAGCAGAGTTGAATTTTTCTCTTTTGGCGATGGCTTTTGGCTGTAAGGGTGTTATTTCGAGCAAGATCGAAATAGTAACCCGTTGTAATTCAAGCGGAGTCGGATTCTCCTCTTTTGGCAATGGCCCTTGGCCGTAGGGGTGTTATTTCGAGCAAGATTGAAACAGTAACCCGTTGTAATTCGAGCGGAGTCGAATTCTTCTATTTTGGCGATGGCCTTTGGCCGTAGGGGTGTTATTTCGAGCAAGATCGAAAGAGTAACCCATTGTAATTCGAGCGGAGTTGAATTTTTCTCTTTTGGCGATGACCTTTGGCCGTAGAGGTGTTATTTAGAGCAAAATCAAAATAGTAACCCGTTGTAATTCGAGCAGAGTTGAATTCTTTTCTTTTGGCGATGGCCTTTGGCTGTAGGGGTGTTATTTCGAGCAAGATCGAAATAGCAACTCGTTGTAATTCGAGTAGAGTCGAATTCTTCTCTTTTGGCGATGGCCTTTCGCCGTAGGGGTGTTATTTCGAGCAAGATCGAAATAGTAACCCGTTGTAATTCGAGCGAAGTCGAATTCTTTTTTTTGCCGTAGGGGTGTTATTTCGAGCAAGATCGAAATAGTAACCCGTTGTAATTCGAGCGAAGTCGAATTCTTTTTTTTGCCGTAGGGGTGTTATTTCGAGCAAGATCGAAATAGTAACCCGTTGTATCATTATCACTATGTGTTTTTTTGGAGAGCACTGCACGTCGCGGTACAGTTTATCCGTACGTCGGGGTGAGCCCCAGATGTGCTCGGCTTTGTTTTTACTGGAGGATACTGGGCGTTCCCTGGGCGAGTCCTAGTTTGTTTAATTTTGTTCTCATTGGAGAATACTGTGCGTTTCCTGGGTGTTTTGGCGGCGTTGGTCCCCTGCTTGCATACTCATGCGAGTACTTGCGTACCTGTTTCGAATCAATCAAAAGAGTGAAAAACCCAAATGAAATTGTCTGTTACCTCGGTCTAGCAAGCCGGTGAAAGGAGGAGCAGCGTTGTATGGTTACTTGCTCCGCCTAGTACTCGAACAGTGGTTTCTTATTTTGCAGCTACGTTTTCACTTCGCCGTTCAGCTGCGTCTAGACTTCTCATGAGTTGGGCTTACCTCGCCCGTAGGGACACTGAGGCCGAGTCCCAGTCCGATATGCATAAACATAAAGGGAAACATGTCATGCTTTATTTATAAATTATCCAGCGTGCGTGTTACGAAAATAATGAGGGATATGCATGGCCTCCCAAAAGGTCATGCAGCAGGTTATCATCCCTTCCCAAGGGGCGGAAGTACGGGTTGGTATAAAGGGTGAATACATCGCATGAGACCACGGTCACGTCAAGCACATAGTGATCGTAGTTCTATTTCACCCGCGCGTATGACTTATTGAACCTGCCGTCACGGGTAGGGCATGGGTCTCATATAAATATCGGTCATAATTTTTATTTTGTGTAGGGATCTGACCTAGATTGATAAAGTTGTGTCAAAAACTTATCTATCATTTTTTTTAGTTTATGTTGTCACCAAGATGGTGAAGTTGTAGCAGCCTGGAAGTAATACTTGGTTGGTTCTAGATCTAAAGGAAACTAAAGAATTTGGCTAAGAAATCTCCATAGATAGCGCCAAATTGTTTGGTGTTATACCTTTTAGTTAAACTAATTAATAGAATAGATAGAAGGTAAATCTTAGCCAAACATAATTAACTCTAGATTTAAATATACTGGGTACAACAATCGAAGAAGAACAAGCTTGTGTAATATTTCTTAAGATGGTTATCATACATCTAATGTAAATGATGAGCTTACATCTATGACAGGCGTGCACCATAATCGTAAGAATATAGAAGGAGAAGAGAGGAAGTTGTTGATCACTAGGGGATCTCTCTTTTCTTGATTCCATGACTATAAATGTTGTAGCTAGATCCGGGGTTTTTTGAATGATCTCCCCCCTCTCTATATATACTAACAATTTCCCTTTTTATTCAATGGTCTTTAACCGACATATTTTCTCATGACTGTACCCTTCATTACTTGCCTAAACATTACACTTGTTCTGCGACGTAAGCTTTTTGGCGGCTTGACCACGGCAATGGCCGAGATGCTCTATGCTATCACGCCTCGTGGGTACGACTACAACTTGGTCGACCCCTTATCGTTCCTTTTAAGAACAACCATCTTATGGTCATATTTTTACCCATATTGAGACCACAAATTCGTCGCTTAAAAAATCGATGGAACAATTATTTAGTCTTCCTTTTTTTCTTTTTCTGAAAATCCAAAGTTAAAAGATTGATATATTTGAAGATAAACGAGGACTTGTGATAATCTAATAGGTAAATTATATTTTCGCACTCCATTAATCTTCTAGCTGTTAAAAACAGTAAGACCTCCGTCATATATATATATATATATATATATATATATGTACATTAATAGGGTATATAATATAAAATTTTAATTTGAATTGTATATTATGTAAACCATAGTAGAGGCCTAGAGGGATACACTAAAATAATAGCTACAGATAATTGATAAAGAAATACTATAACAAAATTTAACTCTGTTTTTCTTAAATTTTAAATCTTAAAAGTCATGATGATTGTGTAAAATAATACTATCTCTGGTCCAAAATAAATATCGTTAAAGTTTTGTCACACCTATTAAAGAAAATATTTAATAACATTTGAAAAAAAAAGTATGTGAAAATAGATCTAGCTTTACATTAACATTTTCATCTACATATACCTAAAGAAAAAAAGAAAGTTAAAGTTGGCATTAATGTCTACAAGAATAATTAAAAAATTGCATGGGATTATGTACTACGAATATCTGTGATGTCAATCTTCTACTCGGTCAATAGGACAGTGTCATCTCTTGAATTTGATATGAACTTTTTACTTAGTGTCCGCTTCATCAGAAATTCCACTCCATTTTCTCATTCTCTCTGATGCTTGTGCTACCTGAAATTAGAAAGCAGAATTAGAGGCAAAGTTGGAATTTAAAGTTTATGTGTTCGAGATTCTAGTTCATTCAAGTTACTCTATTCTAAATTAATAATTCTCACATATTCAATAAATTTCTTAAGACAAATATAGAGTTTGGATTAAAATTAATGAGTTTGATCGAACCCGTAACATGTGTTCTAGCTCCGTCACTAAGCAAGAATCCCTTTGATATTTGCAATTATCCAATGACCACCTACTTAAAATTTGCAATTACTATCTTACTGAAGCAAACAATTACCTCGTCGTTCCAATTGGTTTTGTATACAATAACACAAAGAATTACAGTTTGCAGAAAAGTTCCAAAAATCATGCCCATCCATATTCCCTACAAAAAGAGAAAGAAAATGAAGTGATAATTAGCAACCTTGACAAAAAATAATAACCCATCAACTTGACATTCTTTTAACATACATTTTGCTTCAACATTCTTGAAAAACTGGACAAGAAACTACACTATCGTGTAAAGAGGTAGGAAATTTCAAGTTGGCTATGTCACGTATATGCTTAATAATTTTTGTAGCTAGAAAACTCTGAAAATAAGGCAATACCAGTAAATTAGAGAAATCTAATATCTAAATCAGGTACTATTACTCAACAAATTACAGAATCAAGCTTTTTCCCTTCCGCCCCGTTGTTTAGACAAAAATGAAAACATAATCAGCACAAAGATTTGCTTTGTTACCTGAACTCCCAACCTTGTTTTATAGCCTAGGAGGAATCCAAGTGGGAGGCCAATTACATAATAACAAGCCAAATTAATGTATGCCACTAGTGCTTGCCATCCTCCTCCAACAGCAACACCTTCAATATTAGAAGCAACCTAATTTATTCTCTCAACCTTTCCCTTTTATTTTGAGACTAATTAAGTAAGAAGCAACATATTTTGGTACCTGATATAACTGGCTGGACACTATTAAGCAGCATAGTTACAGCAAGAAGATATGCTAACTTAGAAACAGCTTTTTGCATTTTTTCACTGCTTGTGAAAAGCATAGCAAAATGGTCCTTTGTTAATATGATTAGTATCATGCAAACTATCCCAATTATGAGTGACTCAGCCACTGTGACAAAAACTGAATATTTTGCAGCCCTTGGGTGGCCCGATCCAAGCTCGTTTGATACGCGAACACTGAAAAATGAAAAATTGAAAAATTAATTACACTAATCGGAAGAGTTTAACTTTTGTGCGCCGACAATGTACGTACAACTTTTTTATATTATCAGGTTAAGAAGACCGGCTGTAACTAGTAGCTGGCTATACTTATCATAATTTGGTTATCTAAAAACGCCCATTTTAAAATACATGTGTCAGTGTATGTAGGGGGCAACCCGGTGCATTAAGTTACCGCTATGCGCGGGGTCCGGAGAAGGGCCGGACCTAAGGGTCTATTGTATGCAACCTTATCCTGCATTTTTGCAAGAGGTTGTTTTCGCGGCACATGACAACAACTTTACTAGTTACGCCAAGGCTCCCACGTGTCAGTGTATCTAGGTGAAATCCAATTGTAATAGAGGGTTAAAGCAAAACTTGTAAACTACCTTATTGCTGCATTAATACCAATGAACAACATGCCTTCCCATCCATTAAGGTTCATACTGAAACAATGGAAAAAAGAATCAAAATTTGAAACAGAACAATTGTAAACACATTATAAAGAAGGGTGCAAATTTGCAAGATTATACCAAATAGAAAGAGAACCAACAGCAATGACAGGATCCTCAAGATGACCAGTTAAAACAATGATGGTCATAAAATACCAAATTTCCAAGCAAATCATAACTGCTGATGCAACAGAAAGCTTTACAAAGGGCCAAAGTTCCTTTAATGCCAACCAAGACAACCCCTTCCAACTATCTTTACACCAACCAACAATATAAATCACCTGAGCCAAAGCAATAGCCCAAGCAGAAACATCATATGCAGCAGCAGCACCAGTAACGCCCCATCGAAAAACTCTAACAAAAAGAAAGAGCACACCGATATGCACGATCAAAGCCATGAATCCAACCCAAGCAAGAACCGCGACATTGCTTTGTGCTTGCAAGAATTTTTGGGTTGGGAAGTTGATCGCGAGGGAGAACATTTGAGGTATGATTTGAATTGAAAATTTTCCAGCTAATTCTGCTATGTCATGTCTTTGGCCTAGAAGCTTTAATATTGGTGCTGAGAAGATGTAGAGTGGCATTATGCAGAAGCATGAACCAACAAGGATTATCCATGATCTTTGTAAGTAAACTCCTAGCAATTCTACTTGGCCTGCACCAAATGCTTGTCCACATAGTGTCTCAAGTGCACTACCCATACCTAACTGATTAATCCATTCAAAACAAAACTTAGATACCTAAAAATAAGAAATAACATAAGAGCATGTTTTTTTCACATCATGCACATTAATAAATTAAATTCCAAAAGTTACAACCTCTTTGAGATTCTAGATTATTTCAAGATTATAGACTACTAAAGGCCTGTTTGGCCATAAGAAATTGTTCACCTTTTTTGGCAACAAATTTACTTCTTTTTTTCAGAATAAGTGTTCGGCAATAAAAATTTCGATTTTCACATGAAGTTTAATTTCAGAATTTTTTGAAAATTTGAAAAACTCCAAAAAACCGTATTTCAAAATTTTCACTTCAAATTATTCACAAAAATTCAAAAACAGCTCCAAATTGTATTCATGTCCAAACACAACTCTAATTTTCAAATATCATTTTCACTTGAAAAAAAATTCACTTTTTCCGGAATATCACAATTCTTATGTCCATACGCCCACTAAGTTATTTGTGATCTATAGTAGTAATCTCACCAGAGAGGTTGATGAACACCAACATTTCTTTTTTTATATATTTTACGTTTATTTTATATTTTTGATGGGATGATGATAAGGGCAGCCCGGTGCACTAAATTTCCGGTATGTGCGGGGTCCGGGGAAGGGCCGAATTTGATGGGATAATGATGTTGGAATAATTTTCAAGAAACCAGAAAAAAGAACAGAACTTGAGAATGAGGCAGAATAAAAGGAACCTAACCAAGAAGCCGAATGAGAAATTTGCTATAACCGATAAAGAAATGGCAACGGCAGAGAGCTCAACATCACCAATATGTCCAACAAATATACTTGTGAAAGAATTAATCCCATAATTACACAGAATATTAAACGCTATGGGACCTGCAATTGCCCATAATTTCCCTGATTCCATGCAAACTAAATTTTTCGCATCCTGAAAGCCATGCACTGGCGGGTAATCCGCCAGCATGGCAGATGGAGCCGAATGAAGCTCAGTCGGCTCCATGGAGGAGCCGCCATATAAAGGCGTCTCCCCGGCTGAGCCGCCTGGTGTCTCCATTTCCAAGGTCACGAATTTCTTGGTCGGTGAGAGAGCAGAGGTTGAGCCGTTGTTGCTCCCCTCTGCTCCCTTTTGACCATTTTCTTTATCCCCCTCAATCTTTACGCTCTTTATAAACACTTTTTCATTTATCTGGGGAAAATTTTGTCATTAAGTTGACGAAAACATTCTCCTTTTCTCTAGCATGAATGCTTGATGTTTGAGTATATGGTCTTTCTCGATTCAATTTTGTTATATTCCTGAGCTACAAAAGAGGAAACTATTGACAAGTGGGCAGTTGTCATCAATAAAGTCAGTCATATAAATCAAACTTGGGAAACTAAAGTGTGGCTGTTATTGGGGTAGGTACAAACTTTTTACTCATTTTTCACTTCTACTTCTTTTGAAATATTTACCAAATAAATAAAATTTGATTCTCCCATTAAATTAGTTAGAGAGTATATTCTTCAAAGTCATTTGGTTTACCAATAATAATCTCAGTATAAAATTCTATATAAGTTATATATTGGAGTATTTGGTTGGTCGTACAAGAAAAAGTAATTGTTGTATAACTTAATACAACGTTTGATTGGCTCTTATTGAACTCCACATTTTTAATACTCGCAATATGTTAACCATTGTAAATATGTAGATAAGAGTAACTAAAGATTAAAAATAAAACTTTTAAAATAAGCAGTCCCCTCTTATCAATCTCTACATTATTATTTACCGCATCACCATAGCCTCGTTATTATTGACCTATTAAAACGGTTCCTACATTATAATCCCAGCATAATTAGTACGTGAATCAACCGATCTCTTGGTCGGTCGCCCTCTGGCCAGTGACTAGCCTAGCTATGGAGCTAGGTCTACACCGCCACGTTGAGACTCTTTCGAAAGTGAGATACCGGCTTTCATAAGAGGGAAAGATCACTCCGTCATGCAGCAGAGAAATGTTTATCTAACTAGAAATTTTATAAGAGAAGAAGAATCGTAACGTAGGGTCAACATAAATATTCCGTTAAGATAGTCTAATGAGAAAGCGTCTGTTCACGTTCGTAGTTGCAATAAGTTTTCTTTTTTTTTCAAATCGAGATTGAGTTTCCACCCTCTCCTAAAACTCTCTGATCCAAACATACAAGAAATGCAAAGTGATATGCCGGTTTTGTTTTGCTTTTGTTTTTTACACTTGACAAAACTGGGGAAAAAAAAACTAAGTCCGTGCAAACAGATTCTCTACATTCATGAATATATTTTACAAAATCCCATGATGAGCATTTTGCTACTAATTCTCAGTATGGGATTTTGGGAAAAACAGGGAAAGACACTCTACATTCAGTGAAGATTGGCAAAAATCTTCTTCCATAGGAGAAGCTCTATGCAACTTTTACCTCCTCCAACAGTTAGACAATGACTAGTTGAGAAACAGACCTAAACTGAAGCTTGAGATTGCCTGGATACTGTTGAGAGTTGGGGATTATAACCTGAGCTGAAACCACCACTTCGCGATGTCCCTCGTGATGTCCCGTTATCAGAACCAACTCCTACTCCGTGAAATGATTCGCCCGATACTAATGCTTGGAGCAGCTTTGGAGGTTGAGGCATTGTTATCTCCACTACTCCTTCCAACATTTTCACCACCATTCCCATGGAAGGCCTCATTGATTCATCATCCTGAATGCACCAAACCGCTACCAATCCTAGACGTTCTGCTTCCGTGACATCGTACATTCCACATAGCCTTTCATCGATGACAGCTGCAATGTTTCCCTCGACTATCTGGCGTGCTGCCCACGGTGGGAAAAACCACTTCTCCTCTGTTCCACCCTCTTCACCTCTTGCTGAAGTTGGTGCCTCTACATTGCGTCGACCACCTATCAGTTCCAATAATGTCATTCCGTAGCTATATACATCGGCTTTTGTTGTGATCGCCAAACCAGAGATCCACTCGGGTGCAACGTATCCCCAAGTACCCCTCATGGTTGCCAACACTCTACTAAAGTCCCTACCAAGAAGCTTTGCAAGCCCAAAATCAGAAACCTTTGCTGAGAAATCTTCATCTAGCAGAATATTCTCTGGTTTAATGTCACAGTGTATTATACAACTACGACACTCTTCGTGTAAATAAGCGATACCTTTTGCTGTCCCAACAGCAATTCGGAATCTAACATCCCAACTTAGGTTCTGACCATCTCGCCTTAAATATGCGCTAAGAGAACCCTTTGGCATGTATTCATAAACAAGAAGCCTATGAGAATTCTCAGAGCAAAATCCCCTTAATCTCACTAAATTAACATGCTGAATGTTTCCTATAGTGCATACCTCAGCTCGAAATTCTTTTTCACCGCCACCAGGTCTTTCAAGTCGCTTCACAGCCACGAGTGAAGAATCCGATAGTTCCCCTAAGAATACAGTTCCAAAACCACCATGTCCAAGTTTCTCCGAAAATCCCTTTGTTGCAGCATTAAGCTCTTTGTATGAAAACACTTTCAAATTCATTATAGGAAATACATCTTCCTCTTCTTTATTCTTCTTCCTTATTCTTCTCCTCTTCAACACTAAGAAAGTCCCAATTCCTACTGACAGAATTACCATAAATCCACAGATCATTTCAATCAAAAGTAATCTGCCTTGAATCTGCTTCTTTTGAGCATTCCCTCCTCCCTGAACTCTCACATATAGCTTATCCTCAATAGTTCCATCAGATGTAAGATTTCTAAGATTGAGCAACGAAACATATAAATTCTTGCATAACTTAGTCCTCTCATTGTGATACAAACCAATACAAGAACAATTACCTAAACATTCTCTCTCACATTCACTTCTAGTTCCAGTAATTGAAACTACCCTAGCTCCATCATAACTAACCATTCCAACCTCCTCAAACCCATCTTTCTTACTACAGATCTCATTGCTTTCGCGACGACAGCCACCTGAAAAATCCCCTGCATCCCATGAATCACTATCCAAAGGGCTGAAACCTGGCAAACACTTGCACGGATTCAATGTCTTACTATTACAGAACCCCAAATTCCCACACAAACCATAAGTCTTACACAGATTCTCTGGCTGTGACCAAAACATGTTCCAACTTTGTGCTTGTTGGAACCAAGTGAACTGTTTAATCTGACCAGTAAAATCTACAATGAACCTAGTTAAAGGAGGTGGCATTCCATTCTCTAATGACACCTCAGAGTACCCAAATGAAGCCATAGGAGTAAAGGGTGATATAAAATTGAACTTATAAATGTAAGGAACAGTCATTTCTGGTACCCCAACAAATGCATTTTCACTCCAATTTCCAGTTGACCAATATGGATAAGTACCATTATAAACAAGAACTATCTCACCATAACTTGAGGGTTGAAGCCTTAGGGAGTACCTTCCTTGTGATGGATCAGTGGAACTTTTCCAAGATGTAAGCCATTTTGTAGCAGTCAAGTTCATACCAGGAAGCCAAGTATCTGTAGGAAAATCAAAACTTTGCCATACCAAATTACCTTCACTAGAAACAAGAACCAAATTTCCTTGGTCCAAAAGCTTTACATCTTTAGCTTTATCCAAGTTACTTGTTTCCCAAACAATGGTTCTTGAATCTTCCTTCACAACTAATTTTCCATCCTCAGTAATCTCCATAGTTGCTAAAGATGGATTCTTGATTGGTCTTTCACGGTTAGCAACCCAAACATAAGTAGGAGTAGGAACTGAAGCAAACCAAATACCCAAATACCATTTAGTTTCATCATTGGTTTTGAAAAAACCAAGTTCAAATGTATTGTTCTCGCTCAAGATAGTGATGTTTCCACTTAGTACAACTCGAGATTCGTTCAAAGATTCCAACTTTCTGCTCCCTTTCAAAGATCCCAACTTTCTACCAGTTGGAAAAAACTCTTCAGTGGATTTAGCAACATGGGTCATGTTTACATTATGGTTTCTTGATTTTGTTATTTCTGAACTAGCATTTGGAATAGAACTGACCCCAAATGCCATTGAAATAAGTAAAATGAGAACTATCTGTGGCACCATTTTTGATGAATTTGCAACTTTGCTTTAGCTGAAGAAGAGATTGTGGTGCTTAAGAAACATTGAGAATAGTTCAGAGAATTTTTGTAGTACAGCTTTTGAGAAATTCAGTGTAGACTGCAGAGTAGAAAAAATAGGTACAAGAGGAAAATGAAAGTTTGTCTGAACATCTGTTAAAAGCTGCCACACACGGACTAGATATAAAGGGTACAAATTGGATTTACTGTTCTAACCTTATAGACTTGTTCTCCTGTTAGGAATCTAGTTTCTTGTACATCGGTGGGATTACTGAGTTTAGTTGAGGGTATGTTTGACATTTAATAGGAGTTTGAGTTAGAAAGTCTACCGTGGAAAGAGATATGGTGGCAGACATAAGATCTTCAAGTCCACTCACGAGTTCGTCTGTTTTCAACGTTAATGAATAAACTAAAGAACAAGGAAAAAAAGGTCTTTTTTTCTCTTTGATCTTATTATTGGCTAAATAACTTTGCATCATTTTTTACGGTACTCTATCTCTATTTTGTTTCATTTTGACCTTCTAATTCTATTTTATATGTTCCACTTTAACACAAAAGCTAAAATCAATACAAAAAATATAACACACGTGTATACACAAATCTAAGGTGTAATGAATATCCAATTAAATATTATTGCCACCATGTTTTTTCATCTATATCAAACAGGTCAATACTAAAATACCCGAACCCAACCATATTTTTTGTGATTTATTTCATCTAAACGGGCCAAATATGAAATCGGCATATGAAAGCTTTGGAACTTAGAGAATGAAGACGGGGCAACAGTGGATGAAACATACGGTCGGGTTTGGGTATTTTGGTATTGACCCTGTTTGACATGAATGAAAAAAATTTAAGTGGCAATATTTAATTAGATATTTATTACACCTCAGATTTGTGTATACACATACGCTATATTTTTTGCACTGATTTTAGCTTTTTGTGTTAAAGTGGAACATAAGAAATAGAATTGGAAGACTAAAATGAAACATATAAAATAGAGTTAGAGGGCCAAAATGAACAAGGGAGAGATAAAATGCCAAAATGAAAAATGGTGCCAAATTGAATGGGTTGTATATGTATTTGGCCCTTATTATTCGCTTAGATTTTCGAATATTTCTCCAAAACTCTAATCTCAACTTGTTTATTGAATGACATCTCATT